CAGGAAGCAGGAGCACGTACGGTACCTGAGATGCCATTCGTTCACCCGGTATTTGCTGAGTACTTGCTATGTGCCCGGCTCTGTGCGAGGGTCCGCAGAGAGCAGGAGAAATCAAATGCAGTCCTTGCCCATGAGGATCCATAGCTCATGGGGAAGAGAGGCGTCTCAGCAGACACTTATGAGATTCTCTGGGAGGAGCTTCTGGGACCCTGAAGGTGCAGAACCCAACTCTTCTGGGGTGGGGATGGGATGAGACACCCTGATGCTGGGTCTTGGGGACAGTATTAAGGTTTGTCAGGGGGAGGAGGTCTTGCTCAGGCCTGTAAAGGCATGGCCTTGTGAGAGGTCCTGGCCTGATCTAAAGAGGACAGGGCAATATCAGAAAGGCACATGCAGGCTAGCTTGTTTTAGATTTTCTGTTCTAGGTAGGGAGCCATTGATTGTCATTTGGCAGAGGAATCTCATAGTTAGGGTTGTACTTTTAAAAATAAGTGGTGGCAGCGAAGAGGCTCAGTTAAGGCAGGGAAGAGGAAGTGGTGGTCTAGGACAATTGACCTGAACTGAGACAGCAGCCGTGGGGTTGCAGATGCTGCTTGCAATGCTGAAGTCAGAGCTGGCTAGCTTTGAGCCCTGTGGTGGTTCAGAGCACAAATCGAGGATCAACTGATTATTCCAGTTTGATGATGCCGTTTTCCTGGAGAGGGTGGTACAGGAGGAGGAAGAGGTTAAGGGGGAAGGCAAGATGGATGGGTATGGTTTGAAACAGGTTGAATTCCTAGCCTGTGAGGCATGAATTTCTTTAGAAACATATAAGCTATGAAATATTTTGATCCACCCATAAAATCTGATTTTTGGGAAATTTTTAGGCTGTTAGTTTAGATGAAGAGAGAAGAAAGAGTATGGAGAATTTTTACATATGTAAAGGAAAATGCACTCAACTGGGAGTTGAGATTTAAATTCTATTCCCAGTTCTTTAATGACCTGGACATATGTCGTGGGGTAAGCTGCTTTCTTATCATATGGTAGACTAAAACATCTCCCCTACGGCCCTTTCGGTCTCTAAACAGTTGGTTCCTATTTGTTCATAGAACGGCACGTTCCGAAATAATCCAAACCTTTTTATTAATAGCTTTTGGTGTGATGGCTTCCTATTTGAAGCAGTGCTTCCAGCCAGTGTTTCTTGTGGATCAGACTAGAATGCTTTCCAGGCCTCACAGCTCAGGGGCCTCTCCATCAGCCCCATGCCTTTTTTTTTCTTTCCTGTGTTTCAGATCACCGAAGTGGCCTTGGAGTACAACAACTGTCACAGGGACCAGGTGGTGGAGCGGCTCCTACAACACCTGCGGCGAGTGGATGCCCCGGTATTCAAGTCTCTGGCATCCAAGCGCCCAGTCCAGCTGTCGGACGCACCGCTGATAACGGTTTCACCTTGCTGCAACACCGTGGTGCTGCCCCAGTGGCACTCCATCTCCAGGACCCACAATGTCTGTGAGCTGTGTGTCAACCAGACGGCTGTAGGCATCAGGCCGAGCTCAGTCAGCATGCCACAGTGCAGCTTTCTCGAGATGGCAGCAGCTGTGGATTCTTTCTACCTCAAGGAGCAGGCCTTTTATCACGTGGCATCAGACAGCGTGGAGTGTAGCAATTTTCTGAGTTCTTACAGCCCATTCAGCTACTACACTGCATGTTGCAGGACCTTGAACAGGGGTGTGGAGGGCTTCATTGGTTCTGAAGCCCCGAGCGTTGCATTTTCTTCCCTTGAGAAGGAATGTGAGGTCAGTACTCCAGGCCCCATTCCTCACATTGAGGAGAACAGGCATCTCTTTCCTGAAGTGGACATGAGCAGCACAAACTTCACCGGTCTGAGCTGCAGAACCAACAAGACCCTGAACCTCTACCTTCTGGATTCAAATTTGTTTTGGTTATATGCAGAGAGGCTGGGCGCTCCCAGCACCACTCAGGTGAAAGAATTTGCCGCCATCGTTGATGTGAAAGAAGAGTCCCACTATATCTTGGATCCAAAACAAGCTCTCGTGAAGTTCACCTTAGGTACTGTAGGCACTTCCCTTCCCCAAACAATAAATTTGCGTGACTTCATATAGGTAACTTTTATCTAGGGATCTCATTACATGAAGGTGATGTTACCTCTTTAGCTCGTTTGAAATCTTTAGACTGCAGTTACCATTTTACAAGAAGCTAATTTTGTTTGTTAAATGAGACAGAAACTTCCTAATTCCAAATTTGGGGTAAGTTTGTAATTTAGTCTCAGGAAGTGAGAGTCCAACGTTTCAAATTGACATTACCTGTCACATTTCTAAGGGCGAGCTGCAGTCAGTGGGAACCTGGCCTCTGTGATGAGAGCCGTTCTGGTGTGAATGCTCCAAGGGGCTGATGAATGTGACGTTCTCGAACTTAAAATGGAAAGCAGTGAAACAAAAAAGCTGCCCGTTCTCCTTGTCTCACAGGTTTATTGTGTAAATGTCAAGGCCCAGTTTGTTCCGTTGCTGTTTTATCCCCCATTGGGGAATACTGCTGTGACCTTGGGTGCCTAGATTGTAACAAACAAGTGTCGAATGCAGTAAATGAGTGAGGTTGCAAATGGATAAAAACCCACTTTGGAAGTTAAGGCCCCATCATATGAAGGCATCCTAGAGCTTGCCCGTGGGGCTTGGCAGCAGCCGTGAACTAACCCCCCTCCCCTGTTCCCAGGACTCTGCTGACATCCTTGATGTACGCGCGCACAAGGAAGTGGGGATTCAAAAGCCGCATTAGTTCAGCCTCGTTGGGAAAGTCAGTGTTTGCCAAATGGAGACAGGAAGAATTTGGTAGGGAAGGAAGCCTTTTGTTTTCACGTTCTAGAGGGTATGACAGCTAAGTAAACTCAAAGTCCCTAAATAACAGTCCTTTTAGCGGTCTTCTTTTAAATCCCGGTGAAGCTTGTTTCTTACCTTAGACACGTTTGAAAAGGCTTATGTAAATGTTGATTTTGTTCTGTGTCAAATTATATATTATAACCACGAAGGCTCCTCCTGAGTGTTTAAAAGACCCCATGACCAGTTATTTTATGAAGTGTGTGTTCTATTAATTTTACAGATTGCTCTTAATTCGTGTTTTCTAAAGTTACATTTTGCTACTGAGTTTTCTTAAAATGAAATAAGCCTGTATTTTTTAAGTAAGTGTTTATTGAATGTTATTGGAATTCTGTTCAGTTATACTCAGGTGAGCTCAGTGAGCTCATGTGTGTGTTCTCTTTGAGTTTAAGGGTAATCTGAAAGAAGACTTCTTAATATTTCTTTTCATATTCTGTATCCTAAAACATCTAGCGCAGTTGTCCTTTGTTCTGTAGTTGGTGACAATATTTGTAAAGGTGCTTTTAAAAAAACCATCTACTGGGTGTCATTGTTGGTTTGGAGGGTTGACTCTTAAGTCAGCTGTCTCTGAGGCAGTCTCAGAATTTAGGCTTCATTCAGATTAGGAAATAATTCTAAGTTTTATGTTTCGAGACTATAGCGGACTAAGTGTTATTCAAATGCTGATAATGCATTCTCTTCAGCATTCACATGACACTCTTCATTTCCTCTCTACAGAACATTTCATTGTTCATTAGGACCTAAAAATGGAGAGAGTTAGAAGAAAGAAAAAGAAGTGAAACTCAGATTAGTGCTGCTTCAGATGATACAAAGCAATCTGAAGGCAGGGGCGTTTGTGGGGAGGGTAAAACTTTTGGTTCAAGTTAAGTTTTTGGATTATTTATGATTTTCTGCTAAATATAATTGAGTTTATTTTTCTTGACCTTTTAAGAAACTTGAAGAACTTTAATAAAGGGGAAAAACCTCATAGCTCCTTGTCCTCAAATTAATAAGTATAAAACACCTTTCCTATTATAGAACCTTGTGCAATTATTGCATCTGTGGTTATATTTAAAGGTTGAACTCTGTCTCTTAGATTGTGGCATGTTGATGACTTATGCCATCTTAGGTGTCTATTTATGGACCAGTCCTATTAGGAAAAAACAGGATAGCATTCCTATTCCCTGAGTATCAGAGCATCTAACACCGCTTGGGGTTTTGTTATCTAAATTACTGTCTGCTGAGTCAGTACCACCAAAGCTAAACCTGGCACCACCCTGGGCAGCTTTGTTCAGGGTTTTGCCTGTAGGTAAAGTGTTAAAAATGTGAGCCCATGAAATGTGAGCCTGTGAAGCCATCCCAGTTTTTAAAACATGGAGTTTAAAGTAGGCCAGCTACTTTTCTTGTACTTAGAGAAGAGTTGATCTTATTTTCTCTTTATTTTAGAGTCTTTCATTCAGAACTTCAGCATTCTCTACAGTCCCTTGAAAAGGCATCTTATCGGAAGTGACTCTGCCCAGTTCCCTTCTCGACATTTAATCACTGAAGTGACAACCGATACCTTTTGGGAAGTAGTGCTTCAAAAGCAGGTATGGAATCACGAGAGGGGCAAAAAATCAAGCCATCTGCCCCTATTAAAATTATTTCCAAACCTGTTATTCTTGGGGTGAGTGGCTGGTTTTGATGTACGGAAGGTTAACCACTTATTTCAGAACACGTGTGAATTACATGTGGTTTTCTAATTGTGAAAAGCCTTTGAGAAAGCACATAATTGGGAAAATCTAATGATTAAATTTTTCACTGTAATTTGTGCATAAGCTACATTTATCAAATGCCTCCTGGGTTCTAAGCACGGTGAAGACACAAGGAGCCTGCTTCCCAGGCCCCAGTAATAGCCATCTCCCCTTCCCCCAGGATGTTTTGCTGCTTTATTACGCACAGTGGTGCGGCTTCTGTCCATCCCTCAATCACGTCTTTATCCAGCTAGCTCGTCTCCTGCCAGCAGATACATTCACCGTGGCAAGGTAAGGAAGCCTCTTCTGCTGCGTGCCTGTCTTTGCTCTTCTTTATAGCTTGGCCATATAGTTTACAAGGGTCTGCCCATTTTTCATTAACCATGAGTGAGACTTGGTTGAATTTTATTGCCAGCTTAAAACCATGAGCAAAATCTCATTGAATGAAAGTTTTCCATATGAATTCTGATGATGTTGAGTGTGTTTAGCCCTGATTGCATTCGTAGGAGGGTGAGTGCAGTTCCTTGGGAACGGTGCTGACCTGGTTGCTAGGGCAGCCCCCCTGAATGGTCAGCTGCCTGGACTGCCACGGGAAAGGTTCCCATGGAGTTGTATCACACTGGGGCTTCAGCCCAGCACAAGGGGGCAAGTTCCTGATGTGCTTTCACTAGCCCTGGGACCTGGAGCAAATCTGTCCGCCAGGCCTTGTTTTTATCCTCATTCCTGAAATTAAAAGGAAAGATTGATCGATAGCCACATGTTCTAGTTTTGTGATTCCGTGGATACTATATGTGGGCTCTTTAGTAAACAAAAATTTTTTAATCATTGTTTTGTAAAACGAAGCTCAAATAAAGAGTTTTTGGATAAGGTAGTAAGCATTTTGGAGGGGGAAATATTTAGACATAAGCTACATCTTCTCCCCCCTACCAAAAAACCCTCCAGATGGATTAAATATAAAAGATCAGACCATAGAAAATAGAAGCTAGAATATTAGATTTGCTAGTTCCTTTGAGAGATGGAAGCTTTCCAAAGTGAAGCAGTTAAAAAAATAAAAGAAAAATGAACAGATTCTACTAGAAAAATGTGCAATGAAAATAAATAAGGAAAACAGACTAAAAAAAGAATGACTTATTTTTTACAGCATATATATGTCACCTGTTATATGTGCTATAAGCGAAGTGAAGATTAGAGCCAAATTTAAGTTACCATGCTGAGAGATTTTTATATATACATATCGTCTGACTTAATCCCCATAACATTCAGTGCAGCAGGCATGAGTATCACTTTTCTTTTTACTGAAGAGGAAATTGAGGCACAGAAAGGTTAGGTAATTTGCCCAATCATATAACCTATCAGTGAGGGACCAAGATTCAGAATGAGGCTTTCCTATTCCAGACCCTGAGAAATTAAAATGGTTTAAGAAACTGCTGAGCGGAAAATGTGGTCTATGCACACAGTGGAGTGCCATGCAGCCGTAAAAGGGAAGGGAATTCTGACTCAAGTTACAGCATGGACGAACCTTGAGGACGTTGATACTAAGTGAAATAAGGCACAAAAAGGCAAATTATGTATGGTTCCACTTATATGAGGTGCCTAGAGTAGCCAGATTCATGGAGACAGAAAGTAGGATGGTGCTGGCCAGGGGCTGAGGGGAGAGGTCTGGAGAGCTGTTTAATGAGGACAGAGTTTCGTTTTGCAAGATGAAGCGTCTGGAGATGGATGGTGGTGATGGTTGCGCAGCAGTATGAATGTCCTTAATGCAACTGAACTGTACACTTAGAAATTGGTTAAGATCCTAGGTTTTATGTTACATATATTTTACCACAATAAAATATGTGGGGAGGAGGAAAAAAAGCTGAGAGGGATTCCAGTGTGAAGAAAAGGACATGAACAGGGTTTTCATGTGAGAGGAGACTGTAAATAAACAAGTGGGGAAATTAAATCTAATTGGTGTAAATTAAAACAATAACAAAGTGCCATTTATACTTATTAAATTAACAAAAGCTTTTAAGTGACAGAATCTTGTTTTGATAAAATAAAATGAAATTGGCAGAGTCAGATGTAGCTAATAGAATAAGTAAATTGACATAACCTTTTTGGAAAGCTTATTAGCAACACTGTAAAAAATCACAAAAATGGTTATACATTTTTGACCTGATTTTACTTTGGGAGAATTAAGGAGCTAACCCTGGTACCATTATTTAAATCCAACAGTAGAGGAATGATTAAGTAAATTATGGTTGGGCATTTGATGGGATTTTTTATCCATTCATTAGAGAAATGTTTGACATACAATTGATTGAGAAGAATAGAGGATGAAATATGTGATGACTGCTCTTAACAATATGTAGGCATCTACACCGAGTCTGAATGAGAGCCCCAGAAAGAAGGGCCTGATTAACCCAGTGGAGTTCCAAGTGGATGTTTACAAATGTTTTTCTTTTTAATTTTACAGTTTGATCTTGAAGTAAAAATCGAGGGAAAAAAATATTTGATTATAGATTAAAGTGTTCAACAGCACTTTTTAAAAAAATGGAAGACATTTGGGGTTTTTTTTTAGGAATGCTGTTTTGTTAGTAAAGCTGTTTAAAACCATTATAATTTGACTATGTCATTTTTTTTTTAATAAAAAGTGAATTTTATCCTTTTGGACAAGTGCACTGATCTTCCCCCACCCCCACCCATACTTTCTGAAAACTTCCATCAAATTAATGAGTCAGAACATTTCCATCTTTTGTTCGTGCTGTTTGTGACTAGGGCTCTACCGGTTTCCTCCTTCTAGAATGTTCTTTTTGCTTCGTCTGAGCAGCCCCTGGGGGTGGGAGGACTTGCTGCATGCCAAGCTCAGTGCCAGCTACAGGAGGGGCCACCACCTAGTTTAATAGTACTTAAACACAGGTAGGTCGGTTAATTTAGTACAGATATTATTTTCTGTATTATAAAATTAATTTTAAATCTGCTAAGAAAATAGAACTTTTTTGGCCTCTGTCCAGATTTACAAAATCTAAAATAGAGCATAGTATTTTCCAGTTTTCTTAAATCTTCAGAGGCTTGATGTATTTTGCACAATGATTTCCTTTCTTTTCCCAGAGCTAATTTAAGGATTAAAGTACTTTCCCAGATCCTGCCAGGTAGGCGGACTGCTGTCAGTGAGGCATTCTGGGGGGAGTTCATTTTTACCTTCAGGACATTACATTTTCATGGGTAAGTTAAGTGGAAAGGTGTGCGTCCTGGAAGTATCAGTGCTTCCTGCATGAGCTGTGCCCACCACACACGTGGTGGTGCGCTCACTGGTAAGGGACTAGGCGGCGTGGGCCGCAGAAGATGCTCCAGGTTCTTCAGTTATTTGAGACGGTTCTTTTAGGTTGGAGTTTCTCGGCTGATCTTTTACTTTTTCTGTTCTTTCTCTTTTCTAGGCTTGATGTATCTCAAAATGATCTTCCTTGGGAATTTATGGTTGACCGTCTTCCTACTGTCTTATTTTTTCCCTGCAACAGGTAATGCACAATTTTTTCAGTATTCGGGCAGATGGGATTCTTTTGCTGAAAATGAAATAGGTTTAAGATACTTTACACATGAAATGAAAATCATTAATTATTACTAAACTATTTTGAATAAAATGTATTTATTAGAAACGAAAAGTTAAAAGGGCTTTGGTGTCAAAGTGTCAGCTATGGCGGTTTTGTTGAGAAGTTTGCTCCTCCCAGTGTGTGTGTTTTATGTGAGCATGGATGTGGCCAGCAGAACTTGCGTGCTTTCTTGGCCTTCTGAGATTACAGTAGATGCTAGGATTGACGGCAGAGAACCCCACGTTCTTGTGGGCAAAACAACAGTTACGTGTTGAGCCTTACAAGTATGGGTGTCAGGCCCTGCCTGCCCAAGCTTTCACGGCTGTGAGCCCTACCCATGACTACCTCATCCCTCTTGTGCAAAGAGGAAATGGGGTCAAGGAGCCTTCTCCCCAAGTGTAGACTTCTGTGAATGTCTGCCACAGGGTTGTCACCTGGATCTCTTCTTATTTGCCTGAGTATTGCTCCAAGTTCAGCAAGCAGGGGCGGGACGTTAGCAAAGAGAACAGGGACTTGGCAGTTAGTGAATGTGGATGAGGATGTTTTGGATGTTTTGGTAGAAAGGGAAATTAACGCTTGGTCTTTTAAAGCCTGATAAACCAGATGTTCTCTCCTTTTTTACAAATTCCCGTCTGTTTTTAACATGCTGTCTCCTCGGGGACCCAGTCACATGGCTTTGACAATATCTTTACCGGGAAAAGCAATTGCCAGATTATTTTAGTGAGGTCTCTAACTCACGTATGTGACTTTTACTGTTTCAATTTCCTGCACCCACTTTACCGTTTATTACAGCCACTGCTGTGCTTTTTGTGTTTCTTTAGGAGAGAGCTTCCTTCATAATATTGAATAATTTCCTTGTTTTTTCCTTTTTATCTCAAAGAATTTTTGCTGAAATACTTCCTGTGGTAGCAGGGTCTTGTCAAATCACGCACTAAAAACAGAGCGTGACTCACCCTGTTCTACGGCTGATTATGTCGTGATGAGCCTTTTTCTTTCTAAGAAGCATTTAAAGAGCCATACAGTCACAGAATTGTGGACAGTAACACTAGCAGTTCCATCTGCGTGGGACAGAGGTTGGGCATGCAGTTTAATGAAGCATAATTTTGGAATTCCAAAGACAGTTTGGAAACTTATTAAGTCATAATATTCAGCACTGGGCTTTGCATGAAGATGTTCTCAGCAGCTGGAATTGCGAATATGTGTTGAGAGAGACAGACACACAGAGGCTTGGTGGAGAGGGATTGTGTGTTTGGGGGCCTAAGTCTGGATTGAGTGCCGTTCATTCTAAAGCTGCCTGGTGTTCCGCACAGAGCCAGCTTGTTCCCCAGACCCACGCTGGGTCATGCAGCCCCTTACTGTTTTCCTTGCACTGAAAAGTCAAGAAGGTAAATCCTGAACATGAAAAGACTGTCCAGTTCTGTTTTAATGGGAAGAGCTTGGTAAACCAAAGCCTACTGCTTTGGAATGGAATTTTTCTTATTTCCTAAAAATAAGTAGTAGTCAGAAGTGAAGTAAGCTCCTCATTATTTGCTGGTCTAAAGTGCGTGTTCAGTTTACTCAGAAGGTAAATGAGCAAAGGATATGAGCTGACGGCTCGCAAAAGAGGAAATGAAAAAGACTGAATGATAACATATACTAAGACCTTACACAGTGCACGTGCTTACGTTATTTTTAGAGAAAAGAGTATAAACATGTATAATGTGTTTTGATCAAACATACATTTGTGCATGCACTGGGTTAAAATATGTGCAGAAGGGAAGGTGTCAAGATGTTGACAATGACTATTTTGGAGGGGTGAGGATTACAAGTGATGTGGGAGATGCCTCTTGTATGCTTTTTACATCCTTTGCAAATTATCTTCAGTCAGCCTACCTTATCATGAAAGGGAAACCATATGAAAGAGCTTGTCCTCCGCCACAGTATGTGACCCTGGCAGGGCCAGCCTTCCTGTGCAGGGGCATCTTAGAGCCACTGTTTCTTCCTCCACTCTCTGTGTGACATTTCAGAATACAGGTGCTTTGACCTGGCCCTGGGCTAGGAAATCGGAAGCGGGGGTGTCACTTTAATGTCCCCTGCAGAAGGGCCTCACTTTTTCAGAGGAGCAGCCTTACCCTCCCTCAGTATTACAGCCCCTCCTCTGGAGAAGGTAGCTTACACCTCATTTGTCATTTTTTGTCATTTTTCGTCATTTTATGTGCTAGAGGTGCACACATGCTCTTAGTGAATTTAGAGGCGTATCAGATATACTGTAGGACCTTTATCAGCACTCTTTGCAACTAATTACTTTTTGGAAACAGTTTGACACTGTGTCCTTGCTACTTGTAAAAAGCTTGGAAGCATTTTTGTATACCCATTAGGTAGAGTCATGGAGATTGCTCTAGGAACTCTAAAATGGTGTGCTTAACAAATGGTTTCTGGCCTGTAACTGTGTCAAGACTCACACAGGTCTCTGCACAGCTCTCACGTTTACTCTCTGCCCTACAAGATCAGGTTTGTGCTGCAGAACTTAGCTGTGTGGGTCAGCCTCTGCGGGTCAGCCTCTGCGGGTCAGCCTCTGCGGGTCAGCCTCTGTGGGTCAGCCTCTGCTTGTCCTTCACCCGCACTTCACGGGGCCGGGATGGTTTTAGTTGTCGGTCGACGGCTAGGAGGCCCCGCTTGAAGAAAGCTTAAGAAAATCATGCTTTAAAGGAGGGTGTGGTTATATACTTACCCCCAAAATGTTTGAAATTATTTTATTTACCTGCGAGTTTCCATAAATGTTGTATAAAATGGGGCATATCTGATTTTAATTTCCCTGTGATTTTTATTTCGTAAGGAAAGGACTACCCATTTTGTCTTTTATTAGGTATTTCCACACTGGCTTTGTGTGTGGAAAGGGTGTGCAAAACCTTCAATGAGTGGTTTCTGGTTGTTTTTAAAGGGACAATGTGATTTTTTAAGCTGACACTCACTGAGCATTCGAGTAACTCACGTAATCCTCACAGCAGTCCTGGGAGGGAGGTGACACTCTTGTTAGCCCTTTATAGAGGGGGCAGTGCAAGGGCACAGAGAAGTCACCTGACTGGGAGCTCCTGACAGCGAGCAGTAGCCCTGTGAGTCTGCCCGGGCAGGCGGCCTCCAGGGGCCCTGCTTCTCGCCTGCATCCCTGTTAAGACCCGAAGGTGAGAGTAACTGTCGTCTGCCCACCTCAAGCATAAAGCCGGGGGTTATGTACACACAGGAAAGTGTGCCCATGGTCGAAATTTTGATTGTCAGACAATTCAGTGACAAATTCTAAAAAGGAACGTTCTACATCAGGACTCGTAGTGAAGCTTTGGGGCAAACCCCCTTTACATGTCACCCTCCGTCCTTATCCTGTGCTCTCAGGGCCGGGCAGCCTCAATTCCTGAGTCCCTGGGTTGGTCTCAGTATTATATATAGGCCAGGGCTCCAGTAACACCTTCCGTATCATGGCAATAAAAACGTCTCCAGATGCTGCCAAACGTCCCCTGGGGGGTACAGTCACCCCAGTTAAGAACTCCCGCCTTAGATAATGTGAAATAAAAGCTTGTTGAAGAAGCCGGGCTGAGTGTTTCAGATTCTTCCTTTCACCAAGCACTGTTGATGGCCATGAGAGTGACATGGGTGACAGCCCTGGCTGACACACCACTGGCCCCTCAGAGCACAGAGAGGCCACGGCTTAGGCTTGGGAGCTTGTCCTTCTCAGAAGCTGTGAGTAGAAGCTGAGCTCTGTCCTTGGGAACAGACTCAGGTTTGAGATGAGCCGCCGGATCGCAGAGCGGGCATGTGAGACGCCCTCAGCTTTGCAGAAAGTGTTTCGTCTACGTTTTGTCCACATAACATTTTCCTTGCTGCCTTCAGTGAGTAAAATCCTCAGAAAGCCTTTTGTAGGAAGATAATGGCCCGACCTTCAGTAGCAGCCCGGTTCTGGACTAAACGTGTTGGTGTTACTCTCATCTTTGACTCCTTTCCCTTTCTCTCCAGAAAGGACCTAAGTGTGAAATACCCCGAAGACCTTCCCATCACCCTTCCAAATCTGCTGAGGTTCATTTTGCATCACTCAGACCCCGCTTCCGTCTCCCACAACTTGGCTAACCGTTCTACCAAAGAGTGTCTCCGGAGCGAGGCAGTCTTACAGCAGGGGCACATCTCCCACTTGGAGAGAGAGATCCAGAAGCTGAGGGCAGAGATCAGCACCCTCCAGCGGGCCCAGGTGCAGGTGGAGGCCCAGCTGTCCCGTGCACGCAGGGACGAGCACCGGCTCCTGCAGCAGCAGCAGACCCTGGAGCAGCAGCACGGCCTGCTCCGGCTGCACAGCGAGCAGCTGCAAGCCCTGTATGAGCAGAAGACCCGGGAGCTCGAGGAGGTGGCCCGCAAGCTCCAGGAGCTGGCTGATGCCTCAGAAAACCTGCTCACCGAGAACACGTGGCTCAAGATCCTAGTAGCGACCATGGAGCGGAAACTGGAGGACAGGGACAGAGCCGAAGCCCTCATGCCCCCGGAAGAGGCGCCCTCTGGCCACCCTGAGCCTTCAGGGGCCCCCCGGTTTCCTGGCAATACCCCTCCGCCTGCCAACGTCAGCTCCCCGCTGGCCTCTGAAAGGAGCGATGAGAACAGGACAGACTAACTTTTTAAATGACATGAAGAAATCAGAGGTGAAAACTGTACATTGGGAATATATTTATGCAAATTTTATTGAAATTTATTGTAAATAAAGATTTTCTCAGTGGTCTAGAAAATCAACTTGAATGTCATTCAGCTTTTATTGAACAGGGATGACATCCCTTCCACTTATTGCACAAACTTGGTAACTTTGAGACAAAAACAGTAGCACAGTCCATTTGAAGATTTGTCTGAAAAATTAGTCCATATTTTAGTGGCTCAGCGTCAAAGAGTTCCCTCCCCATTCTACTGCTGCGTCTGCGATGACATGCAGGATGAAAGGTTCATTTCTTGACTGACTAGTCAGAAAACTTGAACGCAACAGTGGGCTATTCAAAAAGAATTCAATGAGAGGTCATAACTTACTAAGCCACTGGAGTATGTGGCTCTGATGTCTACACTAAAAAAAGTAGCTATTGATAAATAAGAACAGTGAGAGCTATTATGTGGTTGTTCACCAGTTCTACAGGCACTTTCACTTTCTTCCCAGAGACCCCCCCAAGAGTGTCCCACTGTGCCTGACATCCTTCCCCAGCATTGCCACCATGCTGGATTCAGGCCGCGAAGATGTCATCCTTGGCAGCCGGGGAGTGGGATAAAGAACTTCTAGAAGTGAAACTAAGGAGAAAGTGACATTTCATCCATCAAAACCAAAACTTCACTGGCACAGTAAAAACCCCAGGGCAAGTCTGACAGTCAAGCGATGGTCATGAACGGGGTCACGCTCAGAGACTGAAGATGCAGGTCCCAGGTGCTCCTGGGTCGCTTAGGTGAGAGACAGGTGGCCTGGGTGTATGCTGCTGGCTGTGGAAAGTAGAGGTAGAAAGCTTGGAAGTTCTGGAATGCGAGGGGAATGGATCAAACACCCCTGCACCTTCCACATTTTTCTTGAGCATCCTTTGTTAAAAAGCAGACCTCCCTGCTCTTCAAGTCGGCACCTTCGGAACTTGTGTCCCCCCTCCCATCCTGCAGGGCCTCCGGTGGTCCCTAGCCTGACTCATGCTTGGCCATGCCCAGCTGGGGGCCAGAGATGTTTCCTCTTGCCTTAGGTTCAAACTGCCTAAGTAGCTACCCCTCCCCCTCTCCCCAAGCTATTACTTCATGTTTGACCGCCCCCCCTCCCAATTTAGGCGTATGCTGCTAAAATAAATGTTCCCTAAGCTCCCTCCTTGGGGTTCTAGAAAGATTAGTTTAACATGCTTTTTAGAGGAGACATTAATGAGGCCATAAGAGCTGCCTTCAGCTTGACCAAGAGGCCAGGGCTCTGAAGGGTTGGGGGGTAGTGGGCGTGGCTAAGGGCTCCCTGGGAGCTCCCTGCCCATGCTGCTGGCAGGCCACTCAAGTGCTAAGGTCCCATGCTCCGAAGTTAAGCCAGGGCTGGCCTCCAGTTTATTACCAAGGATGCTGATAAAAGTCATAGTTTAATCATGATAGTTTAGAATGTGCTTGCAGTGCTGAGATTTAAAATCTTGAGTTCACTGAAGCGTACACAGGGGACACCTTGGAGGCGCAGGCTGTGGGAGGCCTGACTGGGAGCCACCAACTCACCATTTTGAAAATCAAGTTCTGAACCTGAAACTCACGCTCACCGATCCCTACCCCCGGTGCCCACTGACACGTGCCGTCGGGAGGCTCCCGTGTGCACATGCAGACAAGAAAGGACCTGCCTCCGCACCCACACCTCCTCTTATAGCGGTCAGGGGACTCTATTTCTCAGTGACCAGCCAAGGAAAGTGAAATCTCTAGTACCCAATAGGTGGGTGGCAAACTGAGAAGGAAGGAAGCTAGTTTGTGAAAAGGGAAGGAGGTGAGGAACCTCAAAGTCCCCTCTCCCGCCCCTCCAGTGTAGGATATATTAAAAACAACCAACACACACCACAATTTTCTCTCTTTTGTGGTCCATTGGGTTTCGGATAAAGGTAGCCACTGCCTGCGCCGTGCAGCTTGCTAAGTAATGCTGAATGGTGGTGGGGATGGGGCGTGCTCAGCATGCTCAAAGGGACAAGAAAACTGCTCTGCCACTAGGACACTTGGCAGCCCTCAGGACGCGTGGCCTGCCCCGTCCTTCACCGGCTCCCAAGCAGCTGCAGTAGCTTCTTTGCAGTAACTCCACTATCACCAGGAACTGATATTTAAAGACCAAACCTACCTAGAGAAAGGGAGGTGGGGCGGGGGGGCACGGTTCTTCTAGTCATCGCTAACCAAGCAGAAATCAAATCACCAAAGCACCCCAACTGGTCAGCCCTGAAACATAAAACTGACATGTCACATTTTCTACATACACACGTATACATGAGGCCTCTGCCAAGTGCAACTTCGGCCTTACATGTCTAAGACCCTTCCCTCACAGCCGTGACTCAGCTCATCAGTATAGTCAGTCCCATGTGCACTATCCGATATTTTTAAAAATCAGCAAAAAAGCCTTAAGCATATTTACAGTTCACAGGTTTGTGAGTTCATGTGTTACAGTAGTAGCTCCATCAAAAACAGGCTCAGCTAAACATTCAAGTAACAAAAGCACTGTGGGGCTGTGAGCCCCAGCAAGGTCAGGCCTGCCCACTGCCTGCAATGGGCAGCCCCACCAGGAGGCTGAAGGGATGCCCAGGGCCACAGAGTTCTGGCTCAGGACAGCTGGGACCCTGGGAGTCAGTGCATGCGATGACGAAGCCCAGCAAGGCCATGCCAGCAAGTATCAACCCCTCTCAAACGGCAGCATGTCTGTGGTTTCCCCCTCCTGTGCCTCTCGGCTGGCTGCAAACAGCCTAGGAGCCTGTGCATCTCAGCTCAGCCATGCACTTCCGGGCCACTGGGGGTCAGCTTGGCCTTCCTCTCCACGCACGGTCCCTTGGCTGAGTACTGCACCAGCAGGAAGGGCTCCTTGGTCTCGCCATCCCCCACGATGCTCTCCTCGTCCTCTGACTGGCTGATGCGCTGTAGCCGCAGGTAGCACCAGCAGCCCAGGATCAAGGCCCCCAGGGCAGCGATGGCGATGAGGATGACAATGACTGTGACCACACCCGTGGTGGGGCTGTGGTCCATAATAGACATGGTCAGTGCTGGGGGAGGCTTCCGTGGTAGGACGCTCTTAGGGGCAGCCGGCTCAGCGAGGCTGGAAGGCAGGCTGGACACGAGAGCCCTGAAAGACAAAGCAACATGAGGCTACACGGGGGACTCCGCAGGGCACCCTGACAATGCACCAGCTTTGGCTGGCTCGTCTACAGGGTTTATTTTTAATCAGCTCTGAAGCCTGACTGCCCCGCCCTCGTCCTGGTGAAAAACACAGGTTGGCTTCGCTGTTTCTTTGCTCATGGTGTTACCGGCTTCACTCAGCGCAGCCCGCTTCCATTCCCTACCCGCAGTGCTTCTGCTACCAGACAGGCAGCCACCCTTGCCCAGCCAGAGAGCCTGAGATGCAGGGGAGCGGGGCACCTGTGACATGCGACCCCCCTGCAGCAGTGGCTCAAAAGAGGGTCTGTTTATGGTGCATGTTCTGGAACCTCAGCCCCACTAGGTATTCACAGCCACTCATAGAGACTGAAAGGAGCCACTGCTTCATGATGGCCAGAGATGAGGGATTCAACGGCAGGGAAGTGACATCAGCCCCTCTTGCAAACAGGCGACAGACATAGCTCAACCAAGTCTTCCGGAACACCTGTGAAAGAGTGCAGCAGCTGAAGGCCTGTGCCCACAGGGGAACTGCAGCTGCCTGGGAGGAGCCCTGCCCCATCACACCACCTGAGGAGGAAGCCAGGCAGCAGAACCCTGGGAAGACGGAGCACTGAGGACAGATGAGGACAGACTGCCTCTGCCCTCTCGGAGCACAGCACCTGGTGCAGACACCAGAACACAAATGGGTCAGTACACCAAACGCCCGTTACTACAAACATGGGAGTGCCAGGAAGATAGGGGACCAGGTACCAGGATGCTAAACTGAGTGGGGCAGGAGATACTTAGGCGATGCTGATGCTAAGATGTGCAGGAAGTGCCAGTCCTTGGGGAACAGCATTCCTGGCAGGGAAACAGCATCTACTAAGGCTCTGAAGGCAGTAGAGGGCCTGCAGGCAAGTCCAAGGAGGTAAGGGAGCCGGTGGCTGAAGCTGAAGCATCGGGCTGGTTTGGGTGGGGGCGGGGAGGGGGTGTATGCACTGGATCTCAGACAACTCCCTCCACCGCACTGAGCCTCCGAATCCTCCTGTTAATGGGGCTGGTGAGGGGCGAAGGGGAACAGCTTCAGGAAGCACAGAAGATATGAAAAACCCTGACTCATTGTAGGTGAGGCCAGCAAGGCCACAGTCTGGTGAGACCAGCAAGAGCCTACTGAGGTTGGAGGTGCTGAAGCGAGCAGGTTTCCCTGGGTCCCAAGACCCTGCACTTCATTTCTCCTGCTTTGCCACAAGCAGAGCAAGAAACAGTAACACCCAGGTGGGTATGAGAGTGCAGAAAAGCCCACGATGCCCTCGGTACCACGTCGGTGCTCTAAGAGCGAGCTGTCTGAAATTGTTCTTTTGAGAAGACTCACACTGACACAGGTAGACAGCCTGGGGAGGGAGAGGTTTCCCTCCCAACATGATGACATGATGGAACCTTCTGTCCTTGAGCAGTCACAGCCTTAATCAGAAATGATTCTGGTCCACAGTGGGAAGTCTCCCCCTCATCCAAGGCCAGGACTACCTGTAGGTCAACGCCCCAGAGTCCATCTGGGGACCAGGCCCTGGGAAGACTCTGCAGACCCCCAAGTTCTGTTCCGCCTACCACTGCCTATGTTTGCAGAGGGGTCCTGGGCAGGAGGGAGGTGACATCCCTGGAGTCTGCCCCTTACCACCTCCAGGGGCAAGCCGCTGCCATCACTCAGTGGGCTCCCTGGTCCACCATGCGGGTCCACTGCAGCCAGTGCCCCTGTCACCCAGAGGAAAGGCCCCGAGTCCTTACAGTGACCTATAAGACTTGGCATGATGCATCCCCATGCCCTGCTGCCAAGGCTGGTCCCTCTGCCCAAATGCTCTGCTCCCCTTAACCTTGTTCAGTGGTTCTCAACTGAGGGCAACTGTGCCCTCTCCATGGGACATCTGGCAATGTCTGGAGACATTTTTGGTTGTCACAACTACTGGTGTGGGTGCTACTGGTACCAAGTTGATAGAGACCAGGGATGCTGCTCAAGATCCTACAGTACATGGGACAGCAGCCCGCTGCCCCACCCCCACAAAGATCAGTGGTGTCGAGGCTGAGCAACCCTGACCCAGTGGATTGCAGGTCAGGCAGGGAAGCCTACTGACCTCGCAGTCCAGGAAGGTCTCTTCATCCCGTGACTGCACCTGCTCCTTCCCTCGAGGGCACTAGCCTCAGTGTGTACCCCTGCGTTTGCAGCACAGCCATCTGCTTAGCACTCCCCTCCCCCATCAAACTGTGTGCTCCATCAGTGGCCCTGCACACCTGTGCCCCCAAGTGCACAGGTCATCTTGGCTTCTCCCCTGCCACCATCAGGGCTGCTATCTGCTCCCACAACCCTGCTCGGCTTGTCCTTTCAGGCCTCCAGACAGGACAGGTGACCTGATTCCCTGAGAGTCTTCCAGCTGTGGCTGGGTGAACCTGTCCCCACCTCATTTTCTCTTCCTGTTAGGGAAACCACCTACTTGCCTTGTCTCTCCCCACCTCCTTCTCTCCGCTTGACCTCTCGTGTCTCAGGTGGGGTGCCTGCCCTCCACCGCGCTCATGGTCAGGAAGGCAAGTCAGTATCAATTTAGAAGGGGAAGTGTGTGTATGTTTGGGGAGTGGGAGGCGGTTTGGGGGCAGGAAGTGGGGAATCAAATAATGGCAGCGAGAGCTGGGGAGAGGGACCCCAGGGGCTAAACCCACTGGGGAGTCCAGGAGGTACCCACGAGTCCTGGGGGAAATCAGCACTCCATGGACTAATGGAGAAACCGAGGCAGATGCATCCCCCACCCAAAAGGACTCTCTGAGAGGTATAGTGACCTGAAAACCCTGTCTGCTGCCCACACCCCAGGCCAGGAGTAGGCACAGCCAGGTCTGGGCCTCTCACCACCACAAGCCATAGTCACACCTGGCCTGTGGTCCCTGGCCTTACCCTGAGTGCATTTACTGGTTCCTTCATTTACTCAGCAAGTATTTCCCAAGAACTGATCTTTTAAAAAAATCTGATCACATGATCTCCCGCTCAGAACCCTCCCCAGCATCAGCAGAGAATCTAAACTCCTTGCCTCTCTGGACTTCCGCACACCCTCCACCCTCCCTCCCACCTCAAGGCCTCTCTACTTTGTTTTTTCTGCCTGGAATATTCTTTCTGATTGTCCCATGTCTGGCTCCTTCCAATTTTTGGGGACTTTCTCAAAAGGTGCCTCTTGGGGGTTGCCTTCCCAGACCACACTCACCATCGCCTTACACTACTTCATTTTACTTCCTAGTGCCCTCTGTTACCTGAAGTCCTTTTGGGTCAGGGGATGCATTTTCCTGGCTGCCGTCTCCATCCTGCAGTGGACTCTGAGCCAGAAAGAGGTGGGCACTGACCATCCTAACCACTGGCTAGAAGTCCCCAACCCTATTACAGGCACATAGCAAGTGCTCAGTAAAAGTCTGCTGAGCGTTCCAAGCCTGGGATATAGTGATGAGTTAGAAGAGACTCTGCTCTCATGAGGATCATGGTTGGCGGACCGCACCCCAGAGCCAGCTCCCTCACTCAGAAGCCACACCTGCGACCCTAGGCACAGGTCCCCATGCCTGTCCCAATAGACTCAAGGAAGCTGGCAGCCCATGTTGGAGGACAGGCTGTAGCCTGAATACAGGGGTGGAAGCATGTGTGCAGGTGTCTCCAAGCAGGTGTGAGCCCATGGAGGGGCAGCTGTCACCTCATGTGCTGAGCTTTGGGGTGGCGGGGGGAGGCCTCGGAGAAGCAGAGCCCAGAGGAAACCTCCCGGAAGTGAGAGTGACTGGTCTGTCCCCCCTGTGCCCTCTCGGCCTGGGCTGGACCCCACTCCACTTGCTTCACCTCTCCCAGGGCCTCCCCCACCCCTATGCCCCTCAAGCCAAGGTGTCTCCTGCAAGTCAGTGCCCCCTCACCGTGGTCCAGGAAAGCCCCCAGGTCAGACAGGGAGGGCCACAGTGGGGGCTGAGTAAGTGCTCAGGGTGGCGCCTAGGAACCCTCAGAACAATCATCAGAGTTAACGTGTATTCCATACAATCATCTAATCCTCCCAACAACTGCTCCTTATCCTCCCCGCTTTACAAAATGTGCAAACAAGTTGAGAGCATTTGCATGGACTGCCCAAGTGCAGATAGCTAGAAAGGAGAGTGACTCCAGAAGTAGGGCCCAGCAGAGAAAAAGGACGGGTCTTCTAAGTGCAGAGGGCCGGGCCAGCCTGAGGTTCAAGCGCAGCTGGGGGCCTGTGGTCTCTGGGCATTCTCGGAGTGGTGATGGACCAGACGCCCCCATCCCAGCCTCTGTAGCATCTCCTTGCCAGCTCCCTCAGCCAGGACAAAGGCTGGCATTGGAAGCCCAATGCCATTTGGATCCCCCCGAATATACAGGGCCAATCTTCCACCCTCCCTCCACCTCCTGCTCTGTGGGCCCTAAGTCCAGCCTGGCTCAGCCAGTAGTGGTCCGACTCTCTGGTCTCACCCGCTGCTCCTGGAAAAACAAGCTCTAAAGCCCAGCCTCACCAGCCTGCAGAGGCCACTCTTCTGAGCTCCCCACCCACTGCCACCTCTGCCCACCAATGTGTTTAAAAGGAGAGTCCCTGCCTCAGCCACCAGTGGACTGAGGGCAGGCATTTTCCACTGTCCTGCTGTCTCACAGAGGCCCACAGCTTAGGTCTTCCCTAATGCAAGGCGGTGTTCCTGTTATACCCGCTTCTTCATGGGACCCCAAAACTAAGCCTTAACCCCACTCCACAGGTCATTGCACACACTCAAGGCCCAGTGAGGCCACAATCAGCAGAGAAGATTCGAGTCCCCTCCTCCTCGCCCCACCCCTCCACTTGCTAGCGTGAGCTGTTTTGACCTAGCCAAGCAAGCTAATTCTCATGGCCTGTTTCTCAGAGTCCAAAGTAGGAATGAGGCCCTGACCTCACTCACCAGGCTGAGGGGAGGATGAGAAGTGATAAGAAATGTGAAAATGGAAGGGCCAGGGGGCTCCTGGGTTTGTATGACATC